CTTGTGAGGTTGATTTAAGTCTTCACGGTGCAGGGTCTGAGGAGTATGAAAATGCTGGCGGGGGCTTCTCTGGGTCTTTTGCGGCATGGCCTGCTGATAATGTTGGCTGCCTGCTGGCTTTTTCAGATTTGGAACCGTGCTCAAGCCGACAACGAGTGCCTCGCTCAAAGGGACAGCCTGGCAACACCAGTAAAAGGCAGCCACAACAGCAGGAGCAGAAAATAACAAAAAACATCTTAAATGTAGGATAATAAAGAACAGATCAATTGTCTTACGCGTCTCGGCAACTTGCCAAAATCCTCGTATAGGGCTCTGATAGCTGACAAAAGCATCCCCTGTCCGTCCCTGTCTCAATTTATCAAAACGGTGTACCCCAAACTCCTTTGCCAATCAAAGAAGCCAGTTATATCATGCCTACGAAGTTGAGCACAGCCTTGCCATTCTCGGCCAGGTTGTTCAGTCGCTGAATCCGGCGGTATTGGTCGGTAGATGTCGCTCCTTAATTACTTAATTATTGTCACACATCATTTCTACAGACGGACACGCACACACCTACATGTACATAATTGTAGATGCATGCCACTCTCAACATATTACGTTACAACACATTACATTACATTACATTGCATTACATTTCATTACATTACATTGCAGTACCGTTACATTACAACACAATCTGATAGATGACAGTACTTTACAAGACATACCAGTACATAGCAACCAACAGAATACATAACTCATAACGATGTGCACTGCAATGCATAGAAATGCATAACAACACGCAGCACTACTCACTCATATTAAATAGCAGCAAACAGCACACCAACCAATGTACACCAATACATACCAACACATACCTATACATTCCAATACATTACAATACAGACCGATACATACTGCGCCATTACATACCAACACATACCGATACATACCAACACATACCAATGTATACCAACACATACGCTAAGACGCTACGATTGCGCGAATATACACATGTACGTGCTTAATTACACACTTACCTACATACTTACGAAACATCCATCCATCCATCCATGAGTCCATGGATGCATGGATGCATACACATACATGTGTGTGTAAAAAGCTGCATCTCTCTCTCTCTCTCTATATATATATACGTATATACATACACATGTGTGTGTGCTTCGGGCTTGGAGGTTGCTAATCAGGATTCAAAGGCATGCTCGAGTCTCGTTTTTGAAACATGAACAGACTTTGACATAATGCTTGCGGTGTGATGCATACAGCATACATGTATACCTCACCACGCCATGACAGAGTTTGAGCCTGCGGCGCTCTCACAGAGACACAACGAAACAAAGCGCCTCAGATTCTTCTAGATTTGGGAACTAAGCTGTTCCAAGTTTGCACTCAACAGGGGATCCAGGCTTGGCCCCTTATCCACGGGCAGTGGCGCATGCAACGCTGCGCGAAGGCATCTGAATTTAAACCTGAGTGCTAAGCCCTCCTATGGTATCACCAGGACTCAGCAAGCACCAAGAATCGGCACCCCACACCGCCGATGACTGCGCCACGAGGCTCGAGTGGCGACGTATAATCACGAACGGAAATGCAGGACATGCATAGGAAGACATGCGGAGCAAACGCCCTTCGCACTCAGCTTAGACTTAGATTACTTCTCTGCCAGGCAGCGCGCCGCAGGAGCAGCGAAGCCGGTGCATTCAAACCGCCAACCAAAGAGTGCTGCGACTGCCAAGGCGGCCCAGGCACGACGACGGTGGCGCATGGCGATGGACAAATGCTTCTTGGTTCTTTCGGGCTAGCATAAATAGAATTGCAGGCACGGGATACGAGACCGGCAGCATGCTGAAGTACACAATCCGAGGGACTTTTCTATGTGGGAAGAGGCATTGAGGCAATGTCCACGACCGAGCCGCCCCATCTTCGGAAGAGCGGATTCGATATTCGATCCATTCCGTGCTTCCAAACGATACATGCAGATCCTTCAGAATCTGGAGCAGTACCGGGTGCAGCCCACATCTGCGAAGCCAGAATCTTCAAGCCAACCGACACGAAAAGGAAGGCATGATGTATGCGAAAGTAACATAGTGCACATGCCCAGAAAACAAGACAAACATAAACAATAGGAGGAAGACAATCGAGCGCCCCCCCAGCCTCTCACAAAACCGCGCGTGGTGACACACGGCCCTACTGAAATTACTAAGGTTATACTGAAGACAACGTAAATGTTCAACACTTGAGAGCCTGAGAAGCGCACATAGTTGTGGCCCGGCAAAACCACCGTGTCCGAAGGAAGCTTGCACAAGCGCTCGAGCGACTGCAGCCTCCGCAGCAACACAATGCATCCTGCCCCCGCATTGCCGCTCCGAGACACCAGCATGTCGCAGCATGTCATAAAATCTAGAAAGCTTCGAACAACCTGATTAGGACAGCACGACCTTCCCGATAAACATGACAAAAGCATGGCACCTCCATTTCAACAAAAGTGATTGGCTGGTCAAAAACCATAGTAGTAGATCACCCTAGTGACTAAATCCCATGATCCTTCAAGTATAGTGAGCTGATTGTGCAGAAGACCCATAAGCCATAAGTTGAGGCAAGCTGCATGTGTTCGTGGTTCGACTCCATTAGGTCCGTACGGCCAGCGCCGCCGACCTGAATTTTTATGACTCAGGACGCGATCATGTAGGGGTTGTAGGGTTTAGGGTTTAAGCTGTTCGGGGGTTATGGGGTTTCCGCCCTCGCAACTCGGACGCTGAGAGACGAGGTTCTTCGAAGGGTTTAAGCCGTTTGGGGTTGCCGGGTCTAGGGTGTGATTTCGTGGCAGCACAAGACAGGCCGAAGCCTATTTGGAGGTTCATGGGACCTGGTCAGGTCATACAGTTATACAGTACCTCAGTTGGGCTTATAAGTAGCTATGAATATAATTACCTTATTTATCACCCTAGTTAGTTACTATATGTTACTATGCCCCTTAACCCCTTAAGTAGGGAGCAATGCCTTGGAATTTGATGCCTATTGGAGTGGCGGTGGAGCCTCAGAAATCCCCCACGGCTGACGGACAAACCGCTGTATTTCCTAAGTAATGACTATAGCAGCACGCATTAAGTCCCATGGATTGAAGTAGTTTTAGGTACTGTAGGGTTCTGTCCATCAGCAATATCCCGGCATGGAATCGGTCACTATAATCAACCTCTGCAGAAGCCATACGAGGACCATTCCTCGAACACACATGGGGCGAATTCTGGGGCGAGCACGAAAAGAGTGTCTCCACCTCGGCTTGGCGGGATGTCCCTCTCTTTTACAGCTCAGACATATATCAACACATCCATCCATCCATCTATCCATCCATCTTTTAATGCATCTATGCTTCCATCCATCCCTTCACCCATCCAGACAGGTACAAACATACATATATACATACATACAGACAGACAGACAGAAAGACACAGACAAAGAACAGAAAGGTCACCAAGACGTGTAAACAAGGATTTGGGAACTCGGCGCCTTCAGCCCGGGCCAAGCATCAGTGCATTTCCTGTCCGAAGAACCCAAAAAACTTCGCCCTGGAGCTTCAGAGTTCACAGCACGTCGATCGCTCCCAAGATTTGAACAGACCGGCGCCAAATGCCAGGAAAGGTTACGCAGCAGGAATTCACGGGTAGTTGCATTGTTGAGCTCAACATCCCAAACCCCGGCAGATGAGTCTTAGTCCGCGGCTGATGAGAAGCCCTCCGCTGGTCGGAACTCTGATCTCTTTCTCAGAGGCCGGCCCCTCGCAAAACCAGCTCATGTGTAAGAAACGTACACGAGGGAACGTCTCTTGACTGTAAGTTCTGTCAGATTCACTGCACCTCGACCAAGACTGACTGCGAACTGACAAACCACACCTTCAAGCACCTAAGCCGACCGAACGAAAAGTGCTCGGCCCCTCTCAAGCCACAGCAAGTCAGCTAGCAGCTAGACTCCTGACATGTCTGATGTCATTTCCACGCGCGAACCTTCCAAAACCCTAAACCCTAAACCCCTGAACCCCAAACCCAAAGCCCTAAACCGGGGCTGGATTGGGGCTTCCAAGTCAGGCCTGCCTTACAGAAGCGACCGGCGTTCCCCGCCGGATTTGTGTCCCCATCGGGTCAAAAGCATTGAAGTTGATCCAGGAAGCTGCGCTCACATAATGATATGTACCGCGAATAGCAAGTATATGTTACTATGTTACTTATATGTATATATATATACATATACATACACACATATACGCTACAGTTCTATGACCATCCCCCTTACATAATCCCTCCCCTCACTGTCAGCTCCGGCCTCGGATCGCGGAGTAAGGAATCCCGATGCAGGCAGGTACAAGCAAATGGAACCTGGGAAGACCAATTTTCTCTGAGAAGTTCCCTAGCCCTCCAGGTACCTGCTATGCAGGGGCCTAGGGGCTCTAGTTTTCTCTATAGTAGGTACCTGGAGGTTTAGGGTTTAGGGTTTAAGGTTGTAATTTCAAGGCTCAGGGTTTCGAGGGCGTAGTCTCAAGAATACCAGCCTTGTGTCCGAAGAAAGGAGCCACGTGTCAGGCTCTACTAACCCTAACCCCCCAGGTACCTACTATATAGGGCCATGGTGGCTCTAGTACCCTATATAGTAGGTATCTGGGGGGTTGGGGTAAGGTCAGAATGTAGAATTACTATCTATTTGTGCCTGCTACCCCCAAATTGACTGGGCCTCTTGAAGTTTAGCCAGCTCGGCAAACGAAATCGCTTTGGTCGCAGGGGTGTGGAAATCGTAACGTTGCTGGCAGTCATGGGTCCTACGTCATGTAGCAACAGCAGCAGGCCATATGGGGGCTTTGATATTTAAGTAGGGTTTTGTGGTATATTACATTAATTGTTGCTGCGAAAACAATTGAGGAACCCCAAAATAGTATCGGTAATTATTTCGGCCAATAAATCAGATCAGGAATGAAGGTGTGGCTTCTCAGCATGTTGCGCGCTCTGGTCGAGTCAGTCTTGAGTGGTGACACTCGCTTCCCCGGAGTTTGCATTCTCGTCCGTGCTAGCATGTCCTTTGACCGCCTGCTGAGATGCCGTCGCGGAGGAAACAATCCGATGAACTGTGATAGTCGCCACCAAGCACAGGAATGACTGCATGGCTGCATAGAGGTTCCGCCCCCCAAATTCCAAAAGGAATCGAGCAATGATCGGGGCAAGAAACCGGCTGACATTCACGCCAGCTACACTGTGTGCTCGAAAGGTCTCGATGTTGTATGGTGTTCCGGCAGTTGCGGCACGACACGCCCAACCTTCTGCAATGCCATTAGCAACGCTCGCTCCACCATAGACCAAGGCATCTGCAGCTAGCAAACTGCTAGCACCAAAGAAGTGACAGTCAAAGAGCATGATGGAACCTGCGAAGCCCAAGCATGTCATGATTAGAAATATGTTGGACTCTGTCATGAGCTTTTTCGAGAGAACCATGGCAGAAACTCCAGTAAGTAGCAAGCTCCCTGCAGCAATCACAACAAAGGACACTCCACTGAGCTCCGGAGGCCATCTGTAAGAAACCTCGAGAAGCATGATCGTGGCGACTTCGATGGCTCCTGTAGAAAAAGTTCGCTCGTAGCAGTAGAAGACTACGTCCCACACCATCTGCTCGCGAGCTGCTGCTGGCAACTTCTCGGGATGTACATCCGAAGCCTCCTGTTCGGACAAAACCTCCACCTGGCGGGGTCTCAGAAGCCCAGGAGTCGGGGGGCTTGGGGAGGCTAAAATAAAGGCAAAAAGCTGCAAGCTCCACAAAATAATGCTAAGTTCGACCTCTTCTGCGTCATCCGCTGGTTGAAGGTGTGTGGGGATGATCAAGGCATAGGCTACCAACTCGACGAATTGGATGAAGAAGGAGCCCATGAAAGCCCAGCTCATCATGCTGATGGGGGATACCGCATGGACATCTCGGACCTTTCGAACGACACGACTCAGGCCTGCCAAGTAGAGAGGGCCCAGAATGAACCCTGCGTTTCGTGCCGACTGGGTCAGCATCATCCAGAAAGTTTTCTCGCTCTGTGGCGTGACAATGTTCCACATGGTGCTCCAGGCAACTACTGGAATGCTGCCGACACATGTGGTGCAAAAGTTCATCACAACCACAAACCAAAACACCTTCTTTTTAGCACCCGAGCTCCAGTCAACAGAAGCCTGGATGCCTATAGCTATGGCCGGCATGGCCATCAACGAGAGCCCGTACATGTAGAGAAATATCTTTCGAGCGTATCTCTGATTCCAGTCTGTCTCGTTGGTGAAGCCCCTTCCTATGATGATCCCGACAGTAGAACCAGCGGCAGCTGTCCCGAGAAAAACACCACTGGCAGTCGCAGACTCTCCCATAGCCAAGGCATAGTCCAGTGATAACGGAATGAACATGGAGTCGATGAGAAAGGGCACAAGCCAAAATGCAAGAAATGCCGTCTGCAGGAGCACCGTGCTGTTGCGGCTGTGATTTGCTAGGAGGGGCTTTGCTCCCGCCTCCACGTGTCGCTCGTGCAGAAGAAGAAAACACATGCAAAGAAGCGCCGGCACGACCATATTCGTGCTAAAAGGCACGGCCACGTGCGAGAAGTGCTCTGGATGGACCGCATTCCTCAGAGGCCCAGCACCAGCAGATGAGACATCAATTTTCGTCTGGATTCCAGTCTGGATGGTTCGCATCTCTCAGAAGTTCAGCGCCAGCAGCTGAGACATAGAATTTGTTAGTCTTCGTTAGTTTAGCGTTGGGCATGAATAGCTGCGGCTCGACTGCCTCAGCAAGCAAGATGGAGCAGTCTTCGGAGGAAGAGATGTGGACCGGGGCCACTCAAGACTTCTGAAAACATCTCTGCATGCTATCCTGTCATAAAAAGTCAGAATCTTCATGCGGATCAGGCGGGACGCTGACAACGACAAGAAGGGTGGGTTTGTTGGCGATAGTTGCGCTGCTGCCGCTGGCACAGATGGCAGTGGCATGCTACTGCCCTTGCCAATACTCGCATGCAGCTTGTGTGTGTTTGTGTGTGATATAATATAATATTATATTATATTATGTTATATTGTTTATATTATATTGTATTATATTGCTTATATTATATTATACTGTACTATACTATACTATATTCTATTATATGAGAGTTTCTACCGAAGCACAAGATTTCGAACCCGGCTTCATGCCAAGGTCCTAGAAGCCCAGGAACCCTCAGCCACCCGCGGAGACCCTCAACTCAAGCTTTACACCGTGACGTCCCTTTTTTGAGCAGGGACTGCAATGCACTAAGCCCTGAATCCCTTCAGAAGCCCGAGATTAAGCCTATAAGCCATAAAACCTCATCCCTTCTTGCGGCTTACACCCTCAGCCCAATGCCCGGCGTGTGTCCGGGCGTATGGATCGCCTCAGAACCGGCGAGAGCATCGGTTTCGGGCATGAGGGTTTGGACGAGAACGAAGCATATGGGCCTTCTGGCCTTGGGCCCTGCATGGGCAGGGTGCACAAGGCATACAACGTTTGGGTGAGACTCCAGGGAATTGTGGCTGAAGGGCTGGTACTTCTCAATATTGATACATCCTCCCCTCGTTATTGCCGCTGCGTTCGGAAGTTTGATGATCGGGCAAATCCCACAGCATTGTCATGATTCTTGTTTTGATGCAGGGGTCGACGGATCAGACCTGATGCTGGGCAAAGGCTTCCGGCCAAGTTCCAGCTGGACTAGGCGAAGGGCTAGGGGCATGAATTATTATCAAACCCGAGTTTCCCACCTCTGCTTGCCACAACGCATGTGCGGCACTGTCTATCGGAATCTTTGGACACTTGCGGTTGTAGCCACCCTGATATGTCTCAGTCTTGAAGGGGCTCATGGAGGCGTTGACAAATGCTCGAGGCCCTGAAAGTGCAGCTGTGTGTCAAAGAAATGTAGGCACGCTTAGGAACCAGAACAGAAGCAGACAGCCGTTCGGGGATCTTGGAAGAATGCCTGCGTTTCAGAGTTGGCCCATTGGGATTTAAGTTGAAGATCGCTTTGGACGAGAAGTCGGAATGAACTACTTACACAGAGCCGTAAACCTCAATAACACTCTATTCACTTTGGAACTCGGTCACGATAGGCACGGCAGCCTGACAGCCGGGGCAAGCGACGGCAGTACAAACAAACCTGATTCAGTTCAGTCCAAAGCTGACAGGATGATTCGTGCAAGATGCAACCTCTGTAGCTTCGGATGTTCGAAATCGAACGATCTTGGAACTTCTGCCTGAACTGACAGTGCCGAACAAGCAACTAGGAGCTGAGCTTGGCACATGCACGGCCATGGCACCGATGGGCACGACGTCACCGTCGCAAAGCTCCGCGAGATCTGCTGTTTGCACGTGCCAGCACAAGGGTGCACAAGGACACTGCAGGTGTGCTATAGAGTCTAGACTCTAGTCGGTGGAAAGTCGACAGCAGGACAGATTAGAGGATCGGCTGCCAAGAACCAAGAACCCACCAGAAACAGTTTGAGCAATGGAAGGTCATACTTAGCCCTCCAGGAGAGTCAGTAGAACAAGGAAGAGGGCGCGACCCGGACCTCCACAACTGTCCCAAGGTCTGGTTTTGATTTCTGCAAAACCTAAACCCAAGGCCGAAGCCCTATAATCCGATCATGGAGCCCGCGACGAGCCTGAATCTTGAAGGAGCTCATCGGCCTCACTTGAGATCTCGGTGGGTTTAGGGCTGGGAATCCAGCACCAAAGTTTACACAAGCAAACCTCTCACCCACATGTATAAGTTGCTGGAATGAATCAGTGTTTCTCCTGTCTCAAGTCATTGCACATATACGGGCGCGAACTTCGAAATCGTTAGCTTGTCGCCCAACTCCCCGGTCAGAATCAACTGCGAAGGTGCCCAGTCCAAACTTGTTCAGGCACAGTCTGTATTCCGAGCTTTCGGCACGCGATGCTGCGTCCCTGTAAAATATGAGTTGCAACGAATCTAGGATTGCCTGCCATAACTACCGAGGTACTGGAGTTCTTGCAACAGCTCTCGACACACAGGTTTCTTACATGTTTGAGGGTTGCCCGGCTCGGTGTCACATCACCCACATAGGATGGCAACCACACATCTAAACAGCTAATGACACCCCTCGAAGGGAGTGTTAGTCCAAAGTGTGGGCAGCTCAAGCGCGTTGTGTTTATGCGCTGTGTTACATTATCGGATGTAAGGCGAGGGGTCGAGGGTTTAGGGTATATAGAGCTTATAGGGTCTAGGGTTAGGGTTCTTCAATTCTTCAGAACCAGCCTTAGGCCCAAACACCTCGATACCCAAACCCTGTGCCGGGCCAGCGGCGTCAAACTTGCACGCCCACGCCTCGGTAGACCAGGTAATTGTCAGATGCACTAACCACATATATATATATACATATATATATATATATGTGTATATATATACATATGTATATATATATATATCTATACACATACATATGTGTGTGCATAATAGTCACGTAAACAGCATAACAAATATAGGATAGATAAATATTAGATAGGTAGAAGGATGGATGGATAGATAGATAGATAGAGGGAGGTAGGTAGGTAGGGTAGGGTAGGGTAGGGTAGGGTAGGGTAGGGTAGGGTAGGGTAGGGTAGGGTAGGGTAGGGTAGGGTAGGGTAAGTAGGTAGGTAGGTAGGTAAGTAGGTAAACAGATAGATAGATAGATAGATAGTTAGATAGATAATAGACAGATAGACAGATACATAGATAGACAGATAGACAGAGAGA